ACCGCCACCTGCGGATGCACCAGAGGAAGGCCTCCATGCCCGGGACACCACCTCCGGGGCTCCACATCCAGGGCCTCCACGCCCAGGGCCTCCACATCCAGGGCCTCCATGCCCGGAGATTCCTCCCTGTAAGGTGTGTGTGTTTGTAGATATATTTATTTTATTTTATATTTTTTATTGATTTCAGGGAGGAAGGGAGTGGCTGACATGTTTCCAATGACCAATAGTTGTTGAATAACTAAAAGTGTATTGTTTATTTCTTAAAATCCAGATATGTGTCTGAGGTGGTGTGGAAAGCGGCTCCCAGGTGGCTGAGTGATATGGGTTGCCAGAGGTGCAGCAAGGAAACAAAGCTTGATCAGGTGCATGTAATTGTGTAGATTCAAAACCCATGAGAACTTTGTAAACATCTTGGCCACGCCCTTACTTTGCCTCATGGGATCTGGCTATAAAATAAAGACTCGGTTTGCAGGCAAAAAAATAAAAATAAAAAAAAATAATCTTTCAACTTGAGTTAATCTTATCGATATTTTACCTTTATTTAATTTCTTAGCATCATTATGATATCTTAGTTCCTCAAAGTCCTCCTATACTCTGCTAATGACAATATTTACTTCACTCTGTTACCCACAAAAGTAGCCATACTTAAGTCATTCGTGGTGATTTGGAAATTCTTCCCTAAGTTAGTGTTATTATCTGGTTTCCCTGCTGTTACTTTAGCTGCTCTTGACCCATATTTTGGCCTCCTGTCTTTCCACATGTGTCGTCAACCCACACTCACTTTATCTGCCACTTCCACTAGACATGCCCCCATTTGTCACGTCAGCGGTGCCTCACTAGATCTCCCATGAACTTCAACTTTTGGTCTTCATTTGAACTCATATTGTCAACGTGATGCTAAGGTAACTTGCCAATATTTGTTTCCTCTTCCCTTATTATGTTTAAAGGATTACTGCAGACAATTATAAGAGTGCTGAGTTGTTTCCTTAATCATTGGTGCTCTCTATCATTACCTCGGGTTTCAACGCAGCATAATAATCTGTTGCAAACTGCTTCAGCTCCCTTCCAGAATCTCTCAAAACCTCCTCTATTTTTTTTCACTGATTGCCATCAAGATAGCTTATTTTTGAATTCCACTTTCTTAGGCAACATTTAGCCTGCATCTAAATTTGCCTCTCACAACCTTGTGCTGTCCAGGCTACAGAGTAACAAACTTTGGAATAGCCTCCTGGACCTCTAGCTGAATGGGGAGTTTAATTATTTCTTCCAAAATTAGTAGAAGAAAGCTTCCACATTGTCTCCACATCAATAAAGATTATGGATTCAACACACAAAGAGCAATAGGGAATATTCAGAGTGAGAAGACATGCTGAACCCTGGCTGGGGCAGAAAGCAGCCTATTCTCTATATACTTAATAACTGAAAGCAAGACATTAAGGGAGCCACCCCTGCACCGGCTATTGCATGTGAATAACATGTAAGGAAGCCCATAGAATCACTTAAGAATGAAGCCGTGTTGTGTCTTTGTCATGCATTATTTCCTAAATAATGTAGTATCTAGATCTGACTCTGACTGTTAAAACTTGGGTCAGCCATAACACCTCATGCAACTTCAGGATTTTAAGTGTAGAGTTAGGAAAGTCATACCACTACCCCCAACACTGTTCTCATATTTAAAATGATACATTGCATGTAAAGCATATAGCCAATGTCTGGAACAGGGGTCCTCAAACTACGGCCCGTGGGCCACATGCAAATACAAATATTGTATTTGTTCCCGTTTTTTTTTTTTTTTTTTTAAATATATTTTATTGAGTTTTTACAGAGAGGAAAGGAGAGAGATAGAGAGTTAGAAACATCGATGAGAGAGAAACATCGACCAGCTGCCTCCTGCACACTTCCCACTGGGGATGTGCCCGCAACCCAGGTACATGCCCTTGACCGGAATCGAACCTGGGACCTTTCAGTCCACAGGCCGACGCTCTATCCACTGAGCCAAACCGGTTTCGGCCCGTTTTGTTTTTTTACTTCAAAATAAGATATGTGCAGTGTGCATAGGAATTTGTTCATAGTTTTTTTTTTTTTTTTTAAACTATAGTCCGCCCTCCAACGGTCTGAGGGACAGTGAACTGGCCCCCTGTTTAAAAAGTTTGAGGACCCCTGGTCTGGAACATAGTAAGTGCACAATAAAGTGTACTTATTTTAAACATTTATTTTTTATTTTGAGTTGACATATTAGTTTCAGGTGGACACAATTGTTATTAGACTTTATGATGAAATCACCATGGTAGAAAGTAGTATCCATCTGACACCATACATAGTTATTATAATGTTATTGACTATATTTCCTATACTGAACTTTACCTCCCATTCTATTTTTATAACTGGTAGTTTATACTTCTTAATCCCTTTCACCTTTTTCACCCAGAAACCCCACCCCCTCCCATTTGGGCCATCAGTTTGTTCTCTGTATCTATTAGTTTGTTACTGTTTTGTTTTTTATATTCGACATATAAGTGAAATGATATTTGTCTTTAAGTAGTACTTTTAAAGCAATAAATAATGAGCATCATGTGAAAAAATAAAAGTAGATTATAGTGATAGTTGATGCAAAAACAACTGCATCCAGAAGAATGTTCATTTGGTTATTTCAAGACAAAACTGACTTAAAACAAACACAATCTCAGAAATCTTCCCCATCCCCTCAATTGTGTTATGTCCCCATTTAATATATATATATATATATATATATATATATATATATATATATATGTATATATGTATATATATATTTACTTTTCTAAAAGAGAACTTAAAATTTGTTTCTACCACAAGTTAACATAAGACTCACATGTTTTCTCCCTTCTTCCTACCTCCCAAATCCTATTTATTTTTCCCAAATCACAAGGTGGGTCTTATCCACTCCCACCTCTTATCACTTTTTAATGACCTCTTCACTGAGAACATATTATCATTGTCTCCTGCTAAATATTCCTGCCACTGTATTCTCTGGCCTAGACAGTGTATCCTTCTAACTGTTGATAGTTTGATATTCCGAAAAACGCATTCTAGGAAAGGCCATAAGAGGGTGGCTTACCATCTAACTATTTGGGTAGAAGGACGAAATGACTGCCACAGGCATAGTGCTCAAATCCTCTAATCACAAAAAGACTATAAAATATTTTAAGGAAAGTCTCATACATTATTCACTTTTGTAAACCTCCTGCCACCTGCGATGTGGCCTGGTTCAAAATATAAGTTCTTCCATAAAAATTGAACTGGGCCCTTGATGCATGTCATTATTCAAGTCCCCATTGTTATGTTATCAGAGAATATTCCCCCTCATTCTTATTTATTTTAGCTACTAGTAAGCGTGCTGCAGAATTGAACACAATGCATGGTGCAGAGGAAGGAGAACATTAGCCTTTGAGACTGGGGAAGGCCAACATGCTTTATTATTCTCCTTTCTCTGGTATCTCAGAAATTGCCACATTTAGCAATTCATTTTGTTCAAAGTTGCCTTATAAAAAATGTTAAAGTTTATGAAAGTAATAGGATAAAAATCTGGCTGAATTGATTCTACAAAATCTAAATAAGAAGAAAACTCAGAAAGAAGCCATTGACTTTGTATCATATTCAATGATAACATAAAGTTAGATAGGGAGTCTATTTTTTTTTTTCCTTCCAGGTACATAAGTTTTATTTTCCCCAGTGTAAGACAGGTAGGAAAAAGGATATTTAAGAGAGTCCTCTAAAAGTGCAACTGGTGTGTTCTGTTTGTTGTACAGGCATATGAACATGATCTTTAAGCTTTTCTTATATCACTTTCTCCACTCCAACTATCTTAGTTCAGGCCACTTTCATCCTAAACTGCTGTATCAGGTCAGCATCCTAAATGCCTCCTTACCAACGCAATGCAATCGCTCTATACTCGTTCTTTGGCGTTCCATATGGTCCCTTTGACTGAAATCATTCACAGAGATTCTTTTTCCTACTGGAAAAACATGCCAATAATTTTAATAGGTATACATTCCCTCAAAATCATTCTAATGTACCTGGCTAATTGTTAAATGCTTTCAAAAAGTCATTTTTTTTATTTTTAGACATGGGCCATTGTAAAATATATCCTAGTTAGTAAAAATCCCAGAAGATTGTAGAACAGGAGAAGATAGATCAGAGTGGTGAAAGCAAGAAGAAAAAGACACCATTTTGTTGTCATTGTTGTTTGTTTGTGTCTCACACGACCCCTCTGTTTTGGGGGCCCTTAAGATCACCCGCTTTCGGATATTCACTAGAAGGACTCACTGGATTCAGCATATAGTTATCTGGCAGCTAAGATGTATTGCCCTAGTGGTTAAGTGCCGGAGGCTGGTCCATCTTCTTGCTTGACACAGTCGCTGCAGGGAAGAAACATCTGCAAACATATGTTTCGAGGGACCTGGCATACTGTTCTTAATATGTCTGCTCCCCTTCTTAGTGCTATGTGTTCTAACCAAGGCCACCTCCCCGAGAAAGGTTGTTTCCCCAGGTTGAGTTAGGGATTAACAGGACTAAGGAAGGGAGTAAATCAGTAAAACCCCTTAACTAAGTACCAGGCTGGTAGTTAATCACCTTAACTACGAACAATCATGATTAAATTACATAATCTTTACTTAGGATAATCTCCTTCAGTTACTTCCTTGTAGCTTAACAGAACAGTAGAGTAATGACCTTGGAATGGCGATAACAAACGCCCTAACCTTTGGAATAGAATGGATAGGATTAAAATCAAATGGTATAAATATGGATGTAACAGGAGAATAAAGAGAGAACCTGGCTATTCTTGATTCTATCGCAGCAGCAAGTTCCCTACCCTGCAACATTTCCGATTTCAAGCTGGTAATGTGAGCTATTTAAAGAAGACTTCTTCCATCTTTCTTTGTATCTGTTTTGTGTATGTTTTTAACCGGGATATGACGCACTAAAGGACCTGAAGGAAATAGAACTGAAAGCATTCTAAAATGGCGAACCGCACAGTGAAGGATGCCCACAGCATTCACGGCACCAACTGGCAGTATCTGGTGGAGAAAAGATCATTCAGACTCGAATCTATGAGTCCAAGTACTGGAAAGAGGAGTGCTTTGGACTTACAGCTGAACTTGTAGTTGATAAAGCCATGGAGTTAAGGTTTGTCGGTGGCATCTATGGTGGCAACATAAAGCCAACTCCCTTTCTGTGTTTGACCTTGAAGATGCTTCAGATCCAACCAGAGAAGGATATCATTGTTGAGTTTATAAAAAAAAATGAAGCTTTCATGTATGTACGCATGTTGGGAGCACTTTATATGAGGCTGACAGGCACTGCAATTGATTGCTACAAATGCTTGGAGCCTCTGTACAATGATTATAGAAAAATTAAGAGACAGAACCAAAATGGAGAGTTTGAACTGATGCACGTAGATGAGTTCATTGATGAACTATTACACAGTGAGAGAGTCTGTGATATCATTCAGCCCCGGCTACAGGAACACTATGTGCTAGAGGAATTGGAGCCTCGGGTTAGCGCTCTAGAAGAGGACGTGGATGATGTCGAGTCCAGTGAAGAAGAGGAAGAAGAGGATGAGAAGTTGGAGAGAGTACCATCACCTGATCACCGCTGGAGAAGCTACCGAGACTTGGACAAACCCCGTCGCTCTCCCACACTGCGCTACAGGAGAAGTAGGCAGAGTCGGTCTCCAAAAAGGAGGAGCCCTTCCCTTTACAGAAAGAGGCATCGGATCAAGAGTCCAAGATGTCACCGCAGCAGGTCCCGAGATAGACGGCACAGATCCCGCTCCAAGTCCCCAGGTCATCACTGTAGTCATAGACACAGGAGCCACTCAAAATCTCCTGAAAGATCTAAGAAAAGCCACAAGAAGAGCCAGAGAGGAAATGAGTAATGGACTCAGTTTAGGTTTGTCCAAAGAGCCTCCTGCAAATATGAAGTCATCTCTCTATGTGGAAGGACTAAGGTCTACTCCCATGGCAGCTATAAGAATATTTTAGGGTGTTTTTGTTTTTTAACCTTACAGTAGAGTAATGACCTTGGAATGGAGATAACAAATGCCCTAACCTTTGGAATAGAATGGATAGGATTAAAATCAAATGGTATAAATACAGATGTAACAGGAGAATAAAGAGAGAACCTGGCTGGAGAACCTATGCTGGTCATCTGAACACTGTCTCCGTGTCCTTCTTTCTTCACCGACTCTGTCCACACCTTTGGGAACCCCTGGACCTGCTGGGGCTGGACCCCAACAGGTAAGTTATACAGGAAGATAATAAGGGGTTAAGACATAGGTAGTATCTGGGGAAATCTATGTACAGGTTTCCTTATTCTCGCTTTTTCATATGAGGGGTCTCATGAAGCGTAATCTTTCACAGCAACTAAATGCAACATGAGTTTGAAGCTCATTAAAGATTCAGTGCCCAAAGTATGTAGTATTGAGAGTTGGTTACAAAGTACCTTCTGCTTACTTTTTATCAAAATCTCAGACTCCCAGAAAGAAAGCTAATGGTCAGCATAATCCTATCATTTGCACAAAGAGTCTAAGGATGGTGAACCTTTCTTGTGGTTAGCTGTTGCCAAAGGTTCATCTTGCAAGCAGGTTATTCTAAGGAGAGCAGGGTCAGTCCTGCTATGTTACCCATTTTTCTGCACACCTTCAGACTCATATCTGCACAGAATGTAATGCAAAGTGTAAGCATCAGAAGTAGTGACCTAATCCTCAAAAAAGAAGCAAGGGGAAGATTGCATTCCATACCCAACGTAGTGAGAGAAATAGCAGATAAAACAAATCAGATAGATGAATATATGCTAATGCATCTGTTTCCTCATGAGTACAGGTGCACAATTCTGTACAATGAGTGGGAACACATGACCATTTTGATAGAAATGCAGACCATCATACATCAAAGATGCCAACATATGCAGAAGTGTTTAAGACCATAGTGAGAAGCATCGGTTCCATAGTTGTTTCCAATTCTCGTTATAAATGTGCAGAAAAATCAGTCACTTTTCTGTGTGTGCCTGGAGGAAAGTTTCATCAGCTATTTCACTACAGAGAACAAGATGGCTCTAATGCCACAAAAGCATAGTAAACCTCTTTGCGCATTATGACTCCACCCTGAGAGTTGGTGGGGCTTTGGGTGCAGAACAGGGAATGACTGAGTATTTACTAAATTAGATGACCCAAAACTGTATTTACCTGAGGTCTGGTTTGAATGAACAGAATATCAAATCTGTTAAAAAGCACATTTTAACTTAAAAGAGATATTAATGGACCAAAATCTAAATGGAAAAAAGTCCGAGTGGCAATGTTTTTAGTAGGGAATAGTTGGGGAGTTCATAAAAAATATTGCATGAATTTTATGACATAAACATTCTACAGTGTCTTTGCATATTTTTGTACTATAATTCTATTTTCAAACTGCCTGTACAAATAATTGAGTGTGATACTTTTGGTACTATCTTTTCTATAAGACATACAAATAAAGTGATATAATCATTATTCTAGTGGGAAATTTCCTCATCCATTAGTTGATAAGGAAGGGCTGGCTCTTGAATGACAGTTTTGAAACTTGAAGGACAAAGAGGACTTTATAATTTGAAAGTTTCAAAAAAAAAAAAAATAACCGTTTCCATTCAAACTGCTCCAAACCTAGGAAACAACTTGCAAAACCCCAAATATGGAACAAGTTTAGCAAGAGCAAAAAATGAAAAGAAATTTATTTTGCAATAAGCTCTGTGATATGTAATGATGACAAAAAAGGGATCAATTTAGCATATGGAATGGGTTGATTGTGGGAAGAGAATGGGGGAAAGAGAGTCTAGGGTACTATCCAGATCTTTTCTCCTCTTTATTTATTAAAGTTCAACTTAGATGAGGTCCAAATAACTAACCCTATCCCTTTGGTTAGTATATAATAAATGTAACAAAAAGTGCTAATGATAGTACTTTTAATTAAACACAGATTTGCAAAGCAATGCTTCAATTCTGATTTCTTATTTCTTGTGAGTTTTATTACTATAAAATGTTTTTAATCTTTCAGGTGAATACTGGAAGAGAACATATAATTTTTTTATACTCTCGTATGTATTCGTTAGTCATGGCTAAGGCAGATAAAGCTACTGCCTTAGCAATAATAAGCAGAAATGTATAAATTTAGGGTAGATGAAAAAAAAAAAAAACTAGCTTAGAAAGAATAAGCAGCAGTGCGTAAATTCTACTAAGGTTTGAATCACTGACCACTTTGTAATCTTTACAATAAGGAAGGTGGAATGAACAGATACCTGGATGAAGTTTACTTCTTACTGGATATCTTTCAATGAGAACATCCTCTTAATTCAGTGGTTCTCAACGTTCCTAATGCCGCGAACCTTTAATACAGTTCCTTATGCTGTGGCGACCCCCAACTTCATTGTTACAAATTGAACATAATTAAAGCATAGTGATTAATCACAAAAACAATATGCAATTATATATGTGTTTTCCGATGGTCTTAGGGGACCCCTGTGAATGTGTTGCTCGACCCCCAAAGGAGTCGCAACCCACAGGTTGAGAACCGCTGTCTTAATTGGTATGTAGCAGGAAGTGGTGTGCAACAGAATAAAAAAATAGTCTTCATATCCTTAAGATTATGATATATTGTTTCATTATCAGCGTTTAATCCTGGAATAGTTAATTTCCCCCCAATCTATTTTCACTCACTTTTTGTATAACTCAGATTAGTTTCCCACTATTTTATTTTTTTAATTTTCTCACTGTTTTAAAGATAGTTGAAAACACCCAAACCTGACTCTTGAATACTACTGTCAACAAGAAATAAAATACAAAGACTCCCTCATGAAAAACATGTAATAACATGAATGTTTACTCTTTATCAGCAAAAAGTGAAATATGAAATTCCTGATTGCAAAACCGCTAAAATATTTTCCATAAAGCACAAAGCCCTTATTCTCTTTTTCAAAAGAGGTAATTATAGATTTTTATGTAAATAGCTACTTCCCTTTTATGTAAATAGCTACTTCCCTTTAATTCACATTTATTTATCCTGAGGTTTGTTAGCAGTGCTATACTAAGTATTGCAAATATTAAAAAGATAATTTCTATGGTCAAGAACATTCGTGGACTAGAGAAAGCATCTCAGGATTATATTGATCAATCCTTTAATGCACAACCAGACTTCACATGGGAAATTTCAGTTATCAACTTCCATATATGAAGGAGTTTGGGGGGAGGGCTTGATAAATATTGTAATCTCTTGAGAAAAATTCAAGTAGAATGCTATTTGAAAGATGATCCCTTCCCACTAAAGTTTTCCACCATTGTAGTGCAGGATGAAAATGCTCCAGTAGGCATGTGGGAATTGTGGAAACACAATTCTCACAACTAAATGTGTTGGACAAGTAGGAACCTAGGATATATTCATATGTCTAAGAGTGAGTAAGGGGCCTCTTCACACACACATTCAGAAAAAGACACACTAAGAAATATCTAAATTTTCACTTTTTTATAAAATGCTATATCTATTTTACTTTTCTATATGATATTTAACAATATTAGCACATATTTACTGACTACATGCCAAGTGCTTTGTCAAATGGGTTATTTGATTACCTTCCCTCCCCAATATTAATTCTTCTCCTGTTCCTGCAAATCACTTAGTCTTTTTGGGGGAAAAATCAGCAACCAAATACAAAGCAAAAATACTGATATTCAGGCTTTTGTTCAGGCAAAGGTGAGCAGAATAGAGAGGGCAAAAGGGAATGTACAACAACTCCAGGACAGTTCTTCAAAATACTTTAATCCACTGGCAGGCATCTTCTTGCTCTATCAACTGTCTGTTATTAAGACTAATGTTATGGAGGCTGTCACTTGCTAGGCCAATGTCCCTTCAGAGCCTTAGTTTGAACTAGAGACCATATCAAACTTTTCAAACAATTTTGCCATTAATTTGACAGTCACAGTGTGACTGAGGATCTTCTCAAGTACTAGCGAGAAAATTACACAGCTGCCCCTGCTTCTAATCCTGTATAATAAAGAGCTAATATGCTAATTAGGCTGGATGGAAGAACAACCTTCTGGAACTACCAGTGTGTTGGGGGAGGGGGGTAGGCAGCTGGGGCCATGAGGACCAAGGCAGCTGGAGCTGCAGAGGCCTACTCTTGCAAGAATTTCGTGCATCGGGCCTCTAGTTTTAACACATTGTTTGCGGGGAACGTATTTATACGTTTTACGTTGACTGGTAGTAGAGCGCGGGACACGTATTAATACATTTTTTATAGACTAGCGGTAGAATGCAGGTATCGTATAAATACGTTTATTTGTATACTTTTTTATTGCTCTAAAGGGATGCTAACATGCAAATATACGAATTCCAAAGGACAAAATTTGGGTCTCTAACACATACAATGGTGAATTATGTATGTACTTCCAGGTATAACGGTAATCTATTCAACTGCATAGAGTCATCCCTTCACACAATTCTCTACCTCGCCACGTATTCAGTGCGATTCTAAGAAAAATAATTCAGTATACATTTTATAGTAAATCACAAAAAGTTTAATTGAAAAAAAATATGTAAAACTAAAGTTATCGTAATTTTTACTGAACATTGCCATTTGCGCAAAAAAATTAGCAAAAATGGCCCGTGCCACCTGTTAGCACATGATAAAAACTACCCGCAAACAATGTGTTAAATAATTCAAAATTCTCTTTAGCCCTAGTATCCTCTCTTAGCATCCTCTGTTCCCAAAGTTCAAGATGGAATTGCATCATCCAGAGACTGGACACAGACAAAGAGCTGGTAGCAGAAACATATGAACCAGGGGTAGTGGTGGTGGGATAGAAAAGTAAAAAGAACTAGCCCTATATGTGTTTCAGTATGAAAAGTCTTA